AAAAAATCCCCCATTTTAGGGAAACTGTTGTTTATGTTGCATTGTATCGCATACTACGCAGTCAAAAGTTTGAAATGCCCTATGGCAACACGTCAGGGAGGCCCCATCCATTGACACCTTTAAACAGCAACTGAAAATCCACCTATTCACCCTCGCCTACTCGTAGCAGCCCACCTCATGAAACCATTGGTTGGCACCTGCAGGCGACCTACAGAAGACTAGTCTCCTTACCCCCTAGAAAATGTTTTTTTCCCTCAGACCTGCCTGACGTTTTTTCTTCCTAGAGCCAATCCAGCAAAACTGTAAGGGAGTCCCGGGGGATTGTTTTGTATGTGGTGGGAAGCAGAAAAGAAAAATATGTTTCTTAGAAGTTGTTAGTTGGCCGAGAAGAAAAGATGGTTGGTCAAGCATATCAGCAACGGCTCTCTGTTACAGTGTTGTAAGTACACACAAATATATTAACAGATTGCAACACATTGTTGTCGAGTTGCTGTAATGGCTCTATTGTTTTTTAGCTTTAAAATTTGGGAACAGGTTTTTATGAAGCCGTGTGTTGTTGTAGTCATCAGTCGTTCTGTTCTTGCTTTGGAAAGTTTTACATTCCAGCAGTTCAGTACCGCCTGGTGAATCCTTTAGATTAATGAACACATGTCAGAACGGCAGGCTGGAGAATTAACTTCAGCCTTGAGGCAAACAGTGGAACATTTCATAGCAGGCACTTTAGTGTCCTCAAAAAACAAAGACAAAAAAGGGACATTGGTTTGACTTTTTGTTGTTATGTATTTCACCTCCTGAACAGTGTTCTGTTCTATGCAACAGTTTTACAGAAATGTATTGTTCAGGATTGATTTATCCAGTTTGTAGTAATCTTTATTTTTTTATGCAATTTAGGTATTCAGTTTTGTATGTATTTGAAAAACTGCTGAGCCAACCTGTTTCTCTCTCCCTGTCTGCCCCCTGAATCATTGTCCTTTTATTTGTTCCAGGCTGAGAACGATCTCAATGAGTTGCGAGCACTGATGCATTCTCCAAATGCTATTGTGGTAAGCTCTCTATGACCATACCTGGACTGAAAGCTGAGTCCGAAGCTACGTGTTGTTGTTGTTGTTCATTAAACTAAAGACTAAAATGTTTTGGGTGCTGCCTTAAAAATTGCACAATGGTGAATGACGTAACAAAATCATATACTTTTGTACTGTCTCTCTGTCAGTTAATTTTAAAAGATGCCATTTTCCACTGATCATTGTCAAAAAGACTTAAATTATAATGATGTCTTTTGGAAATTAAATACTTTAAATTCAAATGCATATGAAATCGCTAACGTTTTTGGAAAATGGTAATTCTGATGCAACAGTGACAGCTATCCTGGAAGTTAGCATCCATAAAATGTTTAACCCCCCTGAATTAAATAATGTTTCGTATTGACATCCACATATGTTTTCTTGTATTAAATATTTACATCCTGTATGCTGTAAACATTTTTGAGATTTGTTTTTTTAGGCAGAAACATGTGGTTAAAGTTCTTTGTGTTGGTTTTGCACAGAACTATGCCCTTACTATTTAATTTTTGTGGACTTAATATTTAAAATAATGGACAGATTAATTATCCTCTGCCAGGACTCCAACAGTTTATCAACTTTGGTTTCATAAATGCTCTCTTGGTGCCACAGCTGTCTGTTTTGCTGCATTAATTGGTTGATTTTGTGACTATACGGTATATGTTATGGGTAAAGCTATGGTTGCATCATTTGTCAGAGCTGTGACTCCCATCGTGTATCTACAACTATACACACACATAGACACACAAACTCTCCTGATGTGGCAACTGTCATTGTCAACCAGCAGAAACATTCCTCCTTGACACTGATGTGTAGTGTCTCTCAACATAACCTGATATGACACCATGCAAAGAGCTTTGAGTTCCGGTGGCGATGTGTTGCATAAAGACATGTTTCTTGTATTTTTTTTTAATTTATATTCACAACTTTTTACTAATCACAAGTAACACACCATTTTTTCAATTTTATTTAAGTCTTCTCTCTCTTATTTTGCTCAGCGTATGAAGTTCCTGTTACTTCAGCAGAAGTACCTGGAGTATCTAGAAGACGGTAAAGTTCTGGAGGCTCTTCAGGTGCTGCGTGGAGAGCTGACACCTCTCAAGTACAACACAGATCGCATCCACGTACTCAGCGGGTAATTTTTTGGGCTCAGTCATCTCTTAGCTAGTAGTCTTTAAATAGTTTACAGCTTGTAAACACGTCTGGCGAATATTTTTTTGTTCAATCAGAAGGATAAATGTGTCTAAACGTGTCCCTTCAGTTTTGAAGTAAACACTGTCTGACCTTGTCTGTGACCCTATGTTTTAATGTAATGACCAGAAAATATAATGTTACTGTATAGGCCCGATACTTTGCCTTATAATGTGTTGTTTTTTATGTCCTCCTGTTGTTTCCATGCAGATACCTAATGTGTAGTCACGCTGAGGATCTGAGGGCCAAAGCAGAATGGGAAGGCAAGGGAACAGCATCACGCTGCAGACTGCTGGATAAATTACAAAGTGAGGAGATGTGTTCCCATTCCACCTTGACACATGTAGAGTGAAATGAAACAGTGAAATGTCACACAGCTTCAGGAACAGAGGTCTTGTGTGTTGTCAATGGTCCCATTCAGAATCTTGTACCAACATCTGTTCTTAGTGATCTGACTGTATGCCAGCAGTGTTAAGCACAAATGTTGTCACCTGGAACTGAACAGCGTCCTGGCTGTGTCTCCTGTGGCCACGTTAAATTACATGTGGCTTTGCCCGCCTTTTAAACAAACACACAACACATTTTGTTTTGTTATTGAGAACAAAAAGATAAAGTTCCCCTGGTCTTTTCAGACTAGTTCAGTCTGTGTGTGTTTGTGTGAGTGACTGGTGCAGGGCAAGAGAAAAGATAATTGCAAATGAAGGAACTGTTTGTACTGCCAAAACCTGGAATCTTGGTATGTGTATTTTGTGACTTGCTCCAAGGACTTATTCAGTGCCGATCATCTGTGTCCAAACATCTTTGGATCACTCAGGACAAATGTTAGTTCCATGGCTGAGCCGAGTGATTGAGTCCCTCGTTTATGTTTGTAGCATACCTGCCTCCCTCTGTGATGCTCCCCCCACGACGGCTGCAGACACTGCTCCGGCAAGCGGTGGAGTTGCAAAGGGACCGATGTCTGTATCACAACACCAAGCTGGACAATAACCTGGACTCGGTGTCTCTCCTCGTCGACCACGTCTGCAGCAGGTCTGTCTTGCCCGTCTACTCGGATTGCTGCGTCTGATATTTGTCAAGCTGCCTCCTGACCAATGGTGTTGATTGTCATTTCTTGTCACAGGAAACAGTTCCCCTGTTATACTCAGCAGATTCTGACGGAGCACTGTAATGAGGTGTGGTTCTGCAAATTCTCAAACGATGGCACTAAACTAGCCACGGGTTCTAAAGACACTACAGTCTTAATCTGGCAAGTAGATCTGGTAAGTGCACAGAGTAGAGTGAGAGCATTTCCAGTACAAATATTGGTTTTCCTTTTTAGATTTAGAAGTAGCATAAATTAACTCTTCAAATGAAGCAGCTGACATTATTTTTTGTAATGTTTTTTCTCTGTTGGAGAAAGAAAATAGGCTTTATTATTTCAGACATGTTTTGTTTTCTTAATTTTCACTTTTTGAGCTTGTATGTGAAGTTTCACTGTCTGTGTTGCAGGGTGAATAAGAGGGCACCGCCTTCGGGAACAAGATTAATTTTAATATAATTATCTTAATCCTGTCTTTTTGTAGGAGAGCCACCAGTTGAAGCTGCTGCGAACCCTCGAAGGTCATGCGTTCGGAGTGGCTTACTTGGCCTGGAGTCCGGATGACACTTACCTGATCGCCTGTGGACCTGATGACTGTTCTGAGCTCTGGCTCTGGAATGTTCAGGTAACATCTATCCTTGTCTCTACATAGTGTCATCATTTTCATGCCGTGCCTCAGGAATGTCACTTCTTTTTTTATGTACACAATATAGAAGCAGATACACTATCAGTAAAGATAAGAATATCAATTTTATAGTTTTTTTATAGTCATTAAACAGGTTGAGGAGAAAAACATGCACCAAGCCCGTGTACTCACTGACCCTTTTCCTCTCCTCTTCTTCCATCCCTCCCATTCCCCTTTAATATCCTTGTCCTCACCCTTCCCCCACACTTACCTAATGTTTTTTTCTTGTTGTCTCCCTTCCCCCATTTTCTCTCTACTGCTTTTTCGCTGCCTACATCAATCTCTGTGTTAACCAGACGGGGGAGCTGAGGACCAAAATGTCTCAGTCCCATGAAGACAGTCTGACCACTGTGGCATGGAACCCTGATGGTAAACGTTTTGTCACAGGAGGACAGAGAGGGCAGTTTTATCAGTGCGTAAGTATAATCCATACTCTCTGCATTTTAGACAGCATAACTTTTTTATAACAGTATATTTTGTATTTTTTGCAAGTCACTATTATTAAGGGTACCCAACTATATAGGCATTGTATTTCATATGATGTGTTTAATTGATAAAATTATGATGTGATTATTTACTATGATATGTTTATGTGTTGGTCTTTGTCTACAGACACAAAACTGTTTAAAATTAGGACTAGGCCAACATTAAATTATCATGATGTTCAGGCAACACCTGCTCTGAAATAACACATTTCTCAATTTTTTTATATGGTTGAAAATATAAGATGTTCTACTTTGGTGTCGGACCAGATGCAGTCGATCATCTAGTGTGTACTGGTAAATGTTTTCATTCTCCTGTCAAGAACAATGACATTTGCCTTATTTGTTGTCAGGACCTTGATGGTAACCTGTTGGACTCCTGGGAAGGTGTGAGGGTGCAGTGCCTGTGGTGCCTGAGCGATGGCAGAACAGTGCTGGCATCGGACACCCATCAACGTATTCGGGGGTACAACTTTGAGGACCTTACCGACAGAAACATGTATGTTCCAACCAATGTTAAGTAGATACAAATGGGTATGTTTTTGAATCACAAAAATTTGAAAATTGAAATTTGGCATTACGACTTTACCTGTTCTGTGTAAATCTTGTAAGTCTCATATTAAACCATAAATATAGTTTGTCAGTGCAACAAAAATTTGATGCTTTGATGCTGGTGAATTCAACCAAGTTTTTTTTCCTGTGTTTCACAGAGTTCAGGAGGACCACCCTGTCATGTCTTTTACTGTTTCAAAGAATGGAAGATTAGCTTTGTTAAATGTAGCAACTCAGGTAAACTTTACAACAGTAGACTGACTGATTAGTTTGTCAACTATTAGAACATTTTGTTTATAAGTACATTTACTTTATATAGGGAGTACACCTGTGGGACCTTCAGGACCGGGTGCTAGTGAGGAAATACCAAGGTGTGACCCAGGGCTTCTACACCATCCACTCCTGCTTTGGAGGACACAATGAAGACTTTATTGCCAGTGGCAGTGAAGGTAGATTATATACTGTCATAAAAATATAAATTACTATTTAAGCTTTTTTTTTAGATGAAATGTTTACAACTTGAGAATAGATACTGTTGTTGGTAGTTATACAGCCTAAATGGATTTAAATTTAGTTTTCTTTCACGTCCACACCACAGACCACAAAGTGTACATCTGGCACCGACGCGGTGAGCTTCCCATTGCTGAGCTAACAGGCCACACACGCACAGTTAACTGTGTGAGCTGGAACCCAGCCATCCCGGGACTCATGGCTTCAGCGTCAGACGATGGCACTGTGCGTGTCTGGGGTCCTGCGCCCTTCCTTGAATCACAAGAAGTGGATGGACTTAATGGTAATTTCCTGCTCAGTTTTCTGTTGGTGCAGTAAAAGCGCTCTACCTGAAATCTATCGATATGTATTTGATTTTTCTTGATGATAAAAATAATAATGCTAATTTTTCAATAACAAGTGTGGATATATGTGATGAATTTTTCTGGTGCACTGTATTTGTTCCCATCCACAGAGAACAGCAGCAACATGGACAGTTGATGGTCAGTCATGGAGCTATTGACATCTCTGTTTGAAAACAATCCAAGAACCCTGCAGTAAAATGAAAAACACCGAGATGGCAAATAAAATTTCAACAAGGTCAAGAATCACAAACAGATGCCACCAATTCAAAAGATAAAACAAAAGTCACAAAAACTCATCTCCTGACTGGCCTAGACACAGTGGCAGAGGTGACGGTGGACACTGAAAAATTAAAGTCCACATCCTGGTCCTGCTCTCCACCCAGGCCTGGAAAACCATACAATGCCCGGTGGCATGTGGCTGTTTATCGTGAGCTGTAACAGGTTGTCCTCCTCCTTCAACTGATCCCTGTCCCCATCGATCTTGGCGCGTGGTCAGAAGTCAAACCAGATACTCCCGGAGTTTTCCTGGAAGACCACAGTCCACCTTAAGCTTGGAGCACAAGAAGTCCCTGTGATACCACGAGACTGACACAGCAGACGGGCTGTCTACTTGTTGGACTACATTTATGTCTGCCTGTTCTGTCGCTCACATTACCTGTTAATTGTCTCCATACACATGGGTGGGGTGTTTTGGGGGAGAATGATGCGATTGGGGTAAAGCAACAATTATTTTATTTTTTTTGTTCTTTTCTTTTTATTCTTGCTATTTTGTTTGCATTCAATATGTTGGACAAAAGCCAAAAGATGCACCATAAACATGCTGTCCAATCAGCTGACAGAACACAAACACATGGTTATGCTACACATTGGAAATTTTTTTTATCATCGTCATAGCATTTATTTTCATTTAAGAGGTGAACCTTAGCTCAAGTAGTGTCCTTGCAAAACGTCTTTGTGACGATTTTGGATTCTGTTTGACAGCATAAGAAAAAAAAAACAAAGTTGTTTTTATTTAACTTCTAACAAGGACAGTTGCTGTCAAGTTTTTCTAACTGACCACCCTTCCACCCAGAGACCCCCCTGTCTCTCTCTGTTGAGCTAACTACCGCACAATTTCATTACATCTGCCTAAGAAGAGATCGACAGAGAAATCCACTGGTCACATATCTGCTGTAAGGAGGTCAAATGGTATCAGAGAGGTGGACTGTCCACCAACAGGACAAACTATGACCTTTTTCAAAAGTCAAGCTTTTATTGCAGAAAGATTCTGATCAGATGGCAGGCCGGTGACTGCTGTTTCTCCTCTGTGTGTGTGTGTGTACGTATGTGTGTGCATTTGAGAGAGAGAGAGAGAGTATGACTGAAAGAAATTATGCATACACACATTGTGCAAGTTGACATTTTTGAGTGCAGGTTTAATTGGCTTGTGTTTTTGTACGTGTGTCAAAGTCACACCAGCAGAAAATACTTCCCTCTCCCAGATGCTCAAAATCCCACAATGAAATTGTAAAGATGATTTTAAATCAATTCTAAGTTATCCAAAGCCCCATAATGACCTCTCTCTGTGGAACAAAGATATCTTAAGAGCCATTTTGTAAAAAAACAAACAGAAAATACAACTTTTTTTAATCTGGGGCTTTGATTTTTACAGTAGTTTTTTTTCTCCTTTTCACCTATCAAATTGCACTGATGAACTGGCATTAATTATATTTGTAGGGGAAGATAAAAGGAAATTTAGGAGAGCATTTTGGACTAGACATGTCGGATAAAAAGCTATAGAGTTGTGTTAATAGCAAAGTGTCATTTCATACACAGAGATATGGTTTGTGTGTTCAGGACGAAGAGTTTAGCATGGCCCTAGACAGATGAGGCACCAATAATCAGAAACAGTCTTTGAGCCCTCAGTGTTGGGGAATGTTGTTGCAATCTAAAAAAACACAAAAACTGCCTTCCTGTTTATACAGTTGCACACAGAACCTTCAGTATCTATAGTGATGCCCCTCCCTCCACCCAACTGCACTTTGAGGGGTCATTTTTGCTCTCTTGCACCTACTGCAATGGCATGAATCTCTGAGGTTTCAAACCAGCCTCCTTGGTTGCCACACGCTGTTCCCTTTGGCAAAAAAAAGGCTGCATTGGCATAGACTTAAAACCATAATGGGAAAGCTAATGCTAAAGGAACCAAGCCTCTCTATGCATCCAGTAGCAGCGACTGATCATCCTGACCTGAGGTCGTAAAAGTTTGAATCTTCGTGCTTATAAACCATCAACAGCAGTGTCATCTCAAGGGTATCACTCTTGGATCTTTGAGAGAATTTAGCATTCATTCCCTTTAGCCAAGTTATTCAGTGGTCAGTGCACCATTCAAAGCTTTCTTCCTCCCCTTTTCAGGGTATGTAATGACTATTTGCTACAGACTGATATACAGTGAACATGTTTGAAAACAGTGCTTTTCTGTCTGTTTTTATTGAACTTTTTTGTTACTTTTTTGTTCACATTATATCAATTTTGGTTGACCTCTATCCCTGTATGATCATATTAAAATATAACCAGTAACTTGGACTCCTCACTTTCATTTATAACCTTCAAAGTCTTTTTTTCAAAACTTTCTTTTATATATTATTTTCTTAGTGTTAAGTTTACTTTTATTCACCACTGTTTTTGCAAATGAATATGCACAGTAACACCCATGACAATAGAAATGAAGAGTCTTTTTAGAAAGTGTGTTACCTATTGTTAAATCAGGTTTGAACTATCCACCCCTCGCCTTTAAACAGTTTCCTTCTTGTGAAAATCTCCTTTATTGCATGTCTGTGTGATTGAACACAATCTTTCTCTCTTGGTGTGCCATTGTTGACTCACAGTTGTCACATCTCTGACACGTACTGAAGCCAAATCAGTTGAGGCACAATGTGTGGCAATCTCTGATCTCCAGTCTGTAAACTTCAGCTCCTGAACCACGGAAAGGACTTCTTTTCCATATCTATGTTATTTACCAAGACTTGAAGGAAAACACTCATCTAAAGAACCAAAACAAAAGCTTTGGTGATATCCATCATTGACCTGCTGGCAAATACTGTGTTTGTATGCAATCTGGTGTTTTTTTCTGTTCTTTCACCTGAGTTTACCAAGGAGATACTGATTTAAATGTCTTGCTTCTCTCTGAGCTGAAGGTGGTGGCTGTGGGTTGGGCTGGGTGGGGTTTTTCTAAGGGCTTGCTGTAGCATCTCTAAGTTCCATGAGCTTGGGTGGGTAGTGGTGATGTGTGGGTTTGCGTTCCGTGTGTTATTTACAAAAGTGATTGTACTGTTTTGTATTGTTGTGTAGGAAAACTGTTATGTATGCATATTTTCAATAAAGCATTCAGGGTTTTTAAAAAAATTAAATAGTCCATAAAAGTATGACGGGGCAAGAGATGATTAAGTGGTCCCATCAGATCTCAAGAAAACTCCCATCTTACTAAAATGACGGGTCAGCAGATCCAGATTGTTGTGAAGACGTTCTCTCTGTCTTGAGCGCAGCATGTGTTGAGGTGAACCTGTGTCAAACTTTGCTTTGTTATCAGTCGTAGTCCAAAATGTCTTTAAAGCAATGTCCCCGGCCAGACCAGCTGAGATGAGGCAAACTGCAATGCCAAAATTAGAGATGAATAATTGCCAATAAAGTGATATTCTTTTAAGTATGCCTTGTTGTTGGCTATACATTTCTATTAAAAAGCATGGTGTGATTAGAAAAGAAAATATAAGCCGTTACAAAATAAATAAAAATGCCATACACTTTTAATAAATATTTTTTATATATTTGCTTTTTACAGTATTTCTAAACACCTCTGATTGTGTTCTTTATTCATTTATGTTTTCTCCTAGAAATACGCCATACTGAGGTATTAAGAGCAAAGCTGCAAAACAACTAAACTGCGCTATCTGGTGGCACGTGGCAAAATTAAACATGACATCAATTTGTGTGTCAATGTGCCACCACTCCTCTCTTAGCACTGTGGTTTTCTCTTGGTTAATCGATAAGACATGAAAATAAAAAATGTGGTTCATATTTTTATGTTTTAGTTTCAATTAATTTCAAACAATATAACCCTAATCGCTATGTGAACTGTGCTTCACTGTATCTAGAAGGGGCGGGCGCTTGTAGTGACGCCATTGCCACACTTCCTTCTGTCCCTCCTCCCACCGTGTAGCCAAGGTTCCTCAGCCCAAACCAAAGCGCACTCCCTTGGGGTCCACCTGGCCGTTGTTTACGCTGCTCTGGGTGACAGTCATGGCGGCTCCTTTGGCTCACTTCGATGAGGACTGGCAGGACTTTAACGAATTTAAGCCCTCCTCTGAGTCGGCCGATCAGCTGGACCAGCTTAACTCGAACGTGGGCGAGTCGTCCTCGGGCCTAGATGACTTCTCGGACCTGGACAACAGCTTCTCCGGGGAGATATGTAGCTTCAAGTCGATGGAGGACCTGGTCCACGATTTCGATGAGAAGCTGACAGTGTGTTTTCGAAACTACAACACTGCCACAGAAAACATCGCCCCTATCAAACCGATCTCTGAGGAAAGTTGCCTTAAAGACGATGAGTAAGTGTTACTTACTATGTAAAACATGTTTACAATAACTTTCAGCTAGCTCAGTTAGCCCCGGTAGCTTCAGTGAGCTAAAATACTCTTGATATTAGACAGTACACATCTCCAAAGTGTTCAATCTCATTTCCCCTTTGGCTTGAACATGTAGGTCTCAATTGGATGTGCAATGAGGCTCAGCGAGAACATTGTGCAAACAAGAGTGTTCTAAATCTGAAAACGATGTTATTTTTCATGCTATCTGAATGTTATCCCCCTTCCTTCACAAATTTTATTGAGACAGTCTTTTTCTACCTGTTAAATAAGCTGCTTATCTATAAAGATGACATTTGAGACATTGTGTTTGCAAGTTTGCATCTTTTCAAATGTAACTCTACGTGAAATGGATCCACAGCAGGAGTTGCTGCTCTTCCCCCTTTCCGGTTAAAACCATTTCTGGTTTTCCGACAGACTGGAAGGTTACAAATTCTCTGTTTATGTGTGTTCATGTTTATGTTCCACATCAAGCATGCCCGGGCTGTGGCAGCTGATGGAATAGATGAGGGTAATTTGTCAATTCCACATTAGTTAAAATGCACAACCTGCCCTGGTCATATGCAGCAATCAGAAGTGTCAATGTCATTGGTAAACTTTAAACAGTATTTTGTTAATGTTGTGTGGGAAATGGTAGTCTTTCATAAGCTACGTGACAAAATGTTAAATAATTTGAAAGTTTTGTTTTGAACAATTGTATTTGCATTTTTGCCCCTGCGTGACAGTAAACAGAGTAGACTGCAGTTTGTTTCCTTTGTCAGAGTAGTTGTGCTATCTGTGTCTTTCATGTCACATCAACAACATACACAGTCGTGGTCAAAGGTCCTGTTTGCTGTTCATAGACGTGTAAGTAGCACAAATACAAATATAGGCTGAATGCTATGACCACACAGGCAGGTCGTGTGTGTAAATAAAATTAATTCATAGCATTGATATATGGTATCTGTGCATACCCCCTATATTATCACACATATATTTTAATCTTTCTTTAATGGCTGTAATTGGTTGGAGACTCTGACCTAACTTTTTCATTTTGTGATGTAACCGGAGCAACAGACACAGTTTTAAAAGTAGAGGCAATTTCGTAGTAGCAGTACTCCTCAGTACTCCTCAGTACTCCTCAGTACATGGTAGAGTCAGTGGAGTGACTGGACAGAGTCCCAGTAAAGAGCAGAGCCAGACTCTGTCAGGATCTTTCCTGGATGGCTGTGCAGACTGCTCTTTATACGACGACGTGCTTCGGTGCTTAACTAGCTCTGTAGAAAGACCAAGGCAAGGATGAAGAACCAAGGAGCAGAGTGTGTGTGTGTGTGTGTGTTTTTGATAGGTTCACGTTGTACATGTGAACTGCCTCAGTCTAAATGTTTTCAAGCATGTAATTTAGACAAATGAGACATGGCTACACTAAGACAACAAATTGGTTCCTTGACATTTCTGGATTGGTCGTTTGCTTTTAAAATGTTCTCAGAGAACATGAAGTTTTCCTTGGCACACACACACACACACGTCTGAGACGGTGTCATGACTAGAGGCAAAAGAGACTGTTCCTGCCAGATTTTGCCCCATATAAAACAAGCCAAAAGCCCCCTGTGCTCCAAGCTTCAGGGAGAAACGTGAGTTACATAAATATTTGTGTGTGTGTGTGTGTGTGTGTGTGTGTGTGTGTGTGTTTGCAGCGATATAAAGCTGTTCTGACACATGGGTTCACAGCATCCTATCTTACTCTTAGGGCCATGGAACCAAATATAGTGCCCCATATGTGCACTCGAATTTTTTGCTGTTTCTGTTTGTTATTGTAAAATGTGTTTGCCAAAGTATAAAAAAACTGTAGGTTATGTTTACATTGACATTTCTGTACCTTTCCCACTTTATTTAACCTGACAGTATGACTGCTTACTCACGTCGTCATTTCTGTTTCACTTAAATTCAAACCCAGAGTACAACACATTCACACCGATGACGGCTGATTTTTATCATCAACCGTGTACAAAGCTGTGTTTTCATTGCAAAGATCACGAAATGTTTTGTTACTAAATAAGAACCACCCAAAGCTGCTCCCTGCTGCAGTGGCTGCAACTGTGGATTCATCCCTTATTGGATGCAAGAAGAGTTTACCTTGAATGCATCCAACTTGGGTTTTAAAAATAATGTAATGTCCAACAAGGTGACCAGTTGACACTTATGAGGGCAGTGTTAGTGTATCAAATACATATTTAAGATTGTAAAAATATAATATTTAACAGACATGCTTACAGGATTTGAACTGAATAATTCAGAGTTTGTTAAATGACTTTTATAGCAGTCTGTTAAATCAGTATACATTTATTTCAAATAGGTCTTAAACAAGCCTTGAGCCTCATGGTTTCAATTCCAGACATGACTCAAACTTTCTCAGGAAAGATGTGATTAGAGGGTGGGAGGATTTGTCAGTGGATCCAGGCGACAGTTCTGAGCTGCAGCAGACAGGACACAGTGAAGTGGTGTGGGTGTAAGGCTGTGATGCTGTGTCACCACAAAAGGAAAAGGAAACTATTTTTATACACGGAGCTGCCGAAGCTACCCGACCTATGTGAATAAAAACTGTAGTTTATTTAAGTTTATTCATGAATCCTAATTAAAACCTCAATACCTCATTTTTGCTCCTCAGAGTTTGGAATGCCTTGACGGATAACTATGGCAATGTGATGCCAGTGGACTGGAAGACATCGCACACGCGCTCACTGCACTTGCCTGTCCTGAACCTAACTGACCATGAGGTGCTTCAGCCACACTTACACAGACACATGCAATGGCGGTGGTTTTTGGTGTTCCTCAGTCCTGCAAACAATGTTGTTTGAGTAACAAGCAAAATGTATAATATAAGCAAATAATTTCCCTCCTTCATCATTTATCTGGGCAGAAGTTGGATAACCAGTCTTTAGATCTGTCAGATGACGAGGAGCTGAGGGAGCAGATGGACATGCACGCAATCATTGTCTCCTGCATCAATGACGAGCCGATTTTCACAGCTGAACAGGTTAAAATGAACATAAACAAATGTCGTATTTTGAACATATTTTGAACGTATTCTGACAACCACAACACAGGCTACTGGGCAGTTTTGAAAATAAGTTTAAAACTTTATCAGAATCAGAATAAGTATTTTGATCCCCTGGGGAAAATGCTGTTGCATTACAGACAAACTGATTGGAATTTTTTTTTGTTATGCAGGTAATTGAGGAGATTGAAGAGATGATGCAGGAGTCTCCAGACCCAGATGACGATGAGAGTCCTTCTCAGTCTGACCTGTCTATGCTCTCACAAGACCTCAATGCTTTGAAACGCTCTGCTTCAAACACCAGCTATGAGGACCGTAAGTGAGCAGTTCTCTCTTTTTTTTCTCTCTTCTTCATCTCAGTGCACAAGGAAACAACCCTATGCATGTGATACAACTGTTATATAATGCGTATCAAATCCAAACAGACATTGGTTGTGTCCTCACTCTGAGTTATATAATCTACCACAGCATACACTACCTTTGGATTAGGCATCTTTTTTAATCCCAGTGGTGTGGGCGTTATTTGCACCCAGTTTGCCTTCAGACCTTAGTTAATATCACAGATATTTGTCTTGGCTGCTGTTTTTAATTTACACAAATAATATTCACAATATCAATAATGAACCATTTTCTGTAAGGACAACATGTTAAATGCTACAATGAGTAAACCATTGAATTGTGACTTGATGGGTGGACGCAACTCAGTGCCAAACCATGGTATGAGGGAGCAATTTACTGACACCTCCTGTATTCCCTTAGGCAAAAAAAATGTTAAAAAAATGTCCTAATTTAAGGACACACACTTTTTTCTTTACTAGATTTCAGTAATGTTTCTCTGTCCACCACTCCACAGGGCTGCGTCAGCTGTCTGTGTCTGAACTGACTGAGACTCTGGAGGAGGTAGAAACAGCCATTCGTCAGTACAGTGAAGAGTTAATCCAGGCTCTGGCTCTGCGAGATGAACTGGATTATGAAAAGGAGGTATTTGAATCTTTGTCACGTCAGAGTTTCTATAAAAACAAAACCAGGACTAAAGTGAAGTCAGTTATTAGTCATATTATTTTAAAATAAATCTGTACATTCAGCCTCTGTTGCACATCCTAATTTTAAAAATAGCGATGGAAGGTGTGTGCCAATTGAACATCTGTTGTGCAGTGAGAACAGACTGCGGTGCTGCAGGCCAGTGAAAGATGCCTTGGCATCTTCATTCTTATTGTACTCTTTTTTGTAATATCTCTGTTACAGTTTATGTTTTTACTAAATTACCACTAAATTAAAAATCCTTTTGGCAAGTTATAAAATATGTGTGCAGTAAAAACATTTCTGCATTAAAACAGGTAAAAAACAGCTTCATTTCCCTGCTAATCGACGTGCAGAACAGACAGAAAGAGCACCGTGAGCTGCTGCGCAAGAAGAAGAAATTCAGGAGCACGACTACAACCGCACCCAACGGCCAGAGGACAACCAGCACACACATACCAGGCACTGTGAGTCATTCTGCAGAGAAAACTGGAAGGCACGGGGGAAAAATATGACACATGTGCACTGACAGCATGAGGATACAGATAACAAAGAAGGACAAGTCATTTTGTGTGTAGAGCCTCACATGTGTAGCTCAGCATGATGCTTCAGATGGCACGAGAAAGTTGTGTTTATTTACTGTGGGTCTCAGTGTTTTCCCCCTTCTATCTTCTAAGGTCTTGTGTACAAATACTTCTTCATCTTTTTCTCTTCTTCCTCTCACTCCTTTTAGCTCCTCACTTTAGAAGGACTCTCCAGTGTCATTCAAAATGGTCTCCGTCAAACTATCAGCAACACGGGCGGGGACAAACAGGTGCCCCTGCTCTTAATATGCCACCACCATAAACCAAAGTCATTTTTGACTTTTATTTTCCTTCTGTTTTTTTATTTTTTTTTTATTTTCCATCTTGTGTTTTTTCAGGGTTTTCTTTTCCTTTTTTCCATGTTTAGTTTCTTTTGCCACAAGAACTGCAGCTGGATTCCTCTTTTTGGTTTTTCTCCACTTCATTTGAAATATTTTATTAATCCCCATTGAACCTTGATTTCAGCACAGCATGGCACGTCACATTTTTTTTGTTTTTACACCTCAGTGTCATGTGTTCCTTTGTTCTAACCCACATGTACTTTTTCCTCACTAAGGCTGATTCACTTGTTATTTATTTGGGGGTTGTTTGACTCTAACTGAAACCAGCTTGCACTTACGTGCAAAACTGCTATCACTTACAATGTTTTGTACGACTACAGTGACACTGGAAACAACAGAGGCATATTTTATAACAGTGTTGCAGGAGGTGATTGACTTACAGGTCCAGGAGTATGATACAAATATCTTAGAAGTCACTATATCTTAAACTTTTGCAAATAAGTCTTCATTTATATTTTAGAAAGTTTAAAATTCACAACATGCTTTTTTGATGTTTTCCATTCAGTACCTGACCACAGTTATTCCTTATGAGAAGAAAGCAGTCTCCCCGTCAGTAGAAGACCTTCAGATCCTCACAAAGAGTAAGTGTATACTGCACATTTCAACAAAATCAGACATGGGCTCTGAAGACGCCCCTTATGTTTCTTTCTTCCCTGTCAGTCCTCCATGCCATGAGGGATGACAGCGAGAAAGTACCCGCTCTACTCACAGATTACATTCTTAAAGGTAAAAACTCATTCATACTGTAACCACAGAAGGCTGCATTTGGCCACTGCAGTCAAAGTTCGGTCAGTCATACTGTAGTTGGTGCAGTGTTTTTACAGTAAAACTAATGCAACAGATTGAAGGGTGTGTGCCACACACAGCATACATCTGATTGTCGCTTGCACCTGACATTCAGGCTCTCTGCCCTCTCTTCTTGAAAGTGCAGTTAACTCTGTGTCTAAAAAAAGAAGCACTGGACACAAATGTCAATCTCTTCTGACCATGTGACTTCCCTCTCTCTCGTCTGTGCTGCCTTGTTCTGTCTGTAGCTCTGGTTTGAGAGCAGTGGAAACTGAGGTTTGTGAGGCACTGATGTATTAACAGAGATCCATCACATTTAGACTGCAGCATAGATGGTATATAAGAAATGGACGCAGACTTTGGGTTGCAAATCAAAATCCTGCTTCATAAAATGTTCACTCATGTATGAAATACTTGTGACGTCGCATTATGTCCTTTACACTAGGAAGACCTTAAGAACCAGTACCAGGCTGCAAGGCTTGTACCTGTAGTGTGTGGTTTGGTTCCATGTGGTGTATATTGTATATTGGTTTCATGCAGCTGATTAGAATTTGAATCAGTGGAGTATGAGAAACACTCAGGGTGTTTTTGTTTTGCTCTGATGAACAACTGATTTGCACTATAAGAAAAAATGCGTGTATACTTCATAGACACATAATTGTTCCATGGCAAAATATTAATGTTCTTGTCACTGCATTTGCTGAGCATTTAATTTTAAATGTTTTTTTTTAATGGAATTATTCCATGTATGTCCATGTCCAAAGATGAAATTATATAAAAAAATGTGTGGCCCGTCGATCATTGTCTTTTCATGTACTACAAGACTGCTTTGCACCAGGTTGTCCCTGTACTTTTACTGCATGGGTAAAGTTGAAGCTTTCAGCCCAGACTTTGGTCTTAGAAGCAGGTGGCTGTGTCCTTTTCTTGAATACCATCTCTGGTCTTCACCCAATGAGGCTTTCTTTCATCGCTGTCTTTCTCTTGTTAGATGCTCAACTTTCTGCTAAAGTAGCAGCAGCTTCTCTCTTATTCACTCTGTGCTTCGGCTTCTGTTCTGCAGCTCACTACCATTCAAACATACTTTTTGCTTCTCACCTCAGTCTGTGCTAGTTGCTCTTACAATAATAACAGTTGGAAAACAGTTTTGACTGAACAACACTGAATAATCTCATCTGTTTTTGTCTCTGCAGTTTTATGTCCCACGTAAACCCAACTCCATTGCCTCAAGTTTCCTGGACCCCTTAATGGACCATCATCGCAGGGTTCTGGTAATCTTGAGGAAAAAAACTAGAAAATGGATACATTTCCAACGCCTGCTCCGAATTTTCCAGAACATAGACTTTTTTCCTTGTGGCATTTTTCTAAGCTGTGCCACTGTGATTCTTAGGGTTTTAACCTTAGATATAAATCATCGTCTGTAGAGATATTTTAATTACAACATTTTAACTTTTTATTGCCTGAATTTTAGAACCCTCCAAGTCATTGTTGCATGATGGCTTGTTTGTTGCCAGTCATCAGTATTACTCTGCACACCTCACCTCCTGATTCACCTGTGGCTGAGGAAATGCATCCATTCTATCATACTGTGAAACTTCATCACGTATTGTGTGAGGGAAAAAGAAACGCATCTGCGTCGTGTGTAGGTGTAATTTTCCTGTTTGGAAAAGAACTGTTGGCTTTATAGTGTTGATCAAATGATTGCGTATACTCTTTGAGATTAAGATCAAATCTTTTTAATTTAAACTTTTGGCCCAGCTGTTTTTGCATGTTCACTTAAACATTAGACTTCATTTTAGCTGTTATTTGAATGGCATATTTTGTATGGAATTCAGTGGAATTGCACAGTTTTGGGAATATTATACTTTTTTAAAAAAACAAAAGGGAAGTGTTGCATAAACTGGATGAACAAACAAGAAATGCTTATGTATGATGGATGGATGATGAATGTTTTTTGAATTGCATTATAGACTTGTTAGTCACCACCTTGGTCTAACATTATTTTTGTAAAGATGTTCATTGACCTTTGTGCTCTAAAATGTGACATCCCCACTTCCTATAGGTTGGACTATAGGGTGCTACAGTTCTCCATCTGTTAACATTTTAAATGTTGTGTGATTATTGTAGGAGCACTTTAGTCTATCAGTGATCTGGTCATGCAGTAGTTGAATATGTGTACTTTGGTGTCAATCCCTCTTCATTGTATTGTGTTGGATTCAGTTTAGAAACTTCAGCAAATGTGCGTTAAATCTATTATCAAATAATTGCTGCCTGATTCATGGACTACCAGGGAAAAAATATTGTTGTTTTTTTTTTTACATTTTTTTGGCTTAATTCCCCATTTTTGGAAAGGACCCACCCCTTGACATTCGGTTTAATTATAAGATCTAAATGTCCTCTGTAGATAGCAAAACATATTCAGGTTTATGAATGTCCCACACAGAGGACAAAAATAACTTCTGGTAGTCAGGAAGATGTGGTTTCAAAATGAACACTGTATTTTACTGCACTGCCACTAGATTTTGTATTATTAAGCTAAACATCCACCAGGTAGAGCCATTGACTATATACGCGGTGTTTGGCCACTATTCGTTAAAGGAAAAAATCAGCAGTTTAAACACAGCACTGTTGATCTCATAGTCTTGTCGACAAACTTAAACTGCAGAGGAACTGTCAAATTTTATTTTCACAATTAATTGGCTCTCAGAATATCATTACAAGGCTTGTGCAGCAAGACCAGTTTCTTGATCAGTAATTGTAATAAGAGTGGTGAAAAGCCATCGCTTAAGGTGATGTTAAAACATTGCAGTACTTTCTATATTTATCATGTTTACACATCATGTACATAGTAACTGAAAGTACCTCAAAGAAAATGCTTTGTTGTTACAACACTTGTAAGGGTATTTTGATAGTTAGATAATGTCAGACCAAGTGGCTTTTTCTCAGTATACAACCACCTGAAAATATAACTTTGTGGTGGAAACTGCCAGGTTTCTGTTTGAAAACATGCAGGACTTTTATTATATTTCATCTGTAAATTTAGGATTTAGGTATAACATCAGTACGATAGACTTTAAAACCAAACTCTCTGATTTTTATACCCCATTACAAACATCAGCTCACATTTAAATAAGAAGCTACTACACTTTTAATAAATGCACATTTTCAGACCAGCCTAGTTCTGCTCTCAGGTACAGACCATCCATGTTTAAGGTCTAGTCTTAAATGGTACCATGTTTTACAGTATAGACAGCTAAAGCTTTAGTTCTTCATCTTGTTTTTTTTGTTTGTTTTAAATCACTACACATTTTTTTTCTTTTTCACATTGTTAAAAACCTGGACATGGAGATGGACTGCAGTTTCAGTCATTGTAATTCATAGGAGGGAAAAATGGGATCGGAAAAGGAAAAAAAAAACTTTTGCAGACCTCAGAGGAGGATCGCACAAAGGTTTGTTTAAATTTGAGGGCAAAGAATGAGATCAGCTCTGATTTAATTTTTTATACACGTACTCCCACCAGCTTTGAAAACAGCTACAAACTAGCATGTGCATGCACTTTACTACTGCACACACATTTTTAAAATACATGTTCTCATTTTTTTTTTAATCACTAAAAATTGCTACCTGCATTGGAAATCCAGAGATCCTTATAAAATAAAAATGCATTTTAATTAAACAGAACTAAAAATGATAACACAAGCTGTGTAAATTTAATGTTTTGAAAAGTAAAATGTCAGAGATCACAGCAGGATCTCTTCCCTTTTTATCAGATGTCAGTGTAACTAAAGCCTACAGATTTATATTTATATAAAGAACAAGCAACAAAAGAGGAGGCTGCTTTGTAAATGCCTAAAATCTTTTTGTACTTTTAACTAGTTACTTATTGTTTTAAATGCATTACAATTCCCCAGACTGGGGTTTTTATGTTTACAGTCACTTGTGGTACTGCAGTACATTAATTTATTGTGTAAATGTCAATTTTGTAACCATGTTATTGACTATTGTGGTACAAGTACCCTCACAGCATTGTGATTCATTTCAAATAAATTAATCTGCAAAGACTATGATGTAGGTTGGACTGTTCATTAACTGTGTTTGTCCCAACCTGCCGTCCTCTGTCTCTGACCTCTAACCTCTTCAGTATTATAAACTTTCCTCGTCAGGTTTTTTTGTGGTGATTCCAGTCTCTGTTATCAGACACATGCCTTCTCTTCAGCTGTCTCTGACCGTGCTGTTTCTGTTGGAGATGCAGTGAAACTTCTGACCGGGTCAGTTTCAGAGACAAAGAAACCTGGTGGTTCCCACCTCTGTCCCTTTAGTTCAAAAGTCATCCTGGGTTCACAGGTTAGTGTCGGTGAATATGGTGTGTTCTTTACTCACGGTGCTGAAACCTTTGACTGTGATGACAAATTCTTCATCTTCCATGAACTGTGAACTTTTTTTTGACTTGGCTCAAACATGAGTTACAGTTCCAGTTCCAGTTTTAATATACAGATAATAGCAGCAAAGGTGGAGGCAGGAGTATGAAGGGGGTCCTGGATCCAGTACAGCATCCATGGGGTTCAGGAGGGGAGGAAGCACAGAGACTCCTCGGGCCAACATGTAATAGAGATGTACCAGCCGAGCACAGTGGTCCTTCAGTGTGGAGCCGATTCAACGTCACTATTAAAGGTATGAAAGGAAATGGATTTATGGTAAGGCATGTTTTGGGTCATTT